TATAATATCATTGATAGAAAAAAAAAAAAAAAAGAACTCAATAAAATGGATATGTATGCTGGGACTGGGCTTCTCCAGCTCACCTCAACATGAAGTGTCAATATTTCATTGATCAAGAGGCTCCTTTGCAAAATAATATGTTATTTTTAAAAAGGCTGCTGTGTTTAATAGGAATCTTCACACAGAAAAACTACTGTGTGGGAGAACATCTTAAATTTTCATTTAATCTCAGAGTTGTCTACTTTATGTATGAGGGAAGGACAGTGGCACAACACTGAGAAGTGCCATCACCTCTTTACAAATGCTCCTGCTTGGTCACCTTCAGAAACATCACAATCTTTTAAAGGCTGGGCTTTAGCACATGATTGAGAGCTGCTTCACCTCTCTGATCCCATGAATTTGGACTGTTCATTGGAACACGAGTCAGTGTTGTGATTGTGGGCACGTTAAAGTAAGTGATTCTCTTCTGACAACACTTCTGACAAACAGCAGGATATTTTGGGCTTCTTAACAGCGTTGTCAGAGAAGGTATTACTGTTCTTTTTTGTGTGTGGAAAAGGATAAGGAATTCTCTTTTAGCCTTTGTTAGGTACAGTAATTTTTAAGTTAGATGTGTAATGGGTGGTGAAGTGAAATGCTGTGGGTTCCTGCTGCAAGGGAACAGTTTAAACTTGCAGATTTGAGTAATTGTACTTGGCATGAATTGCTCCTGCCAGGGACCATATGACATGGAACCTGAATGAACACAGAAGATGTGCCCCTTGATATCTCATTTTATTCTGGATGTCCCACTGTATGTCCCACTTCCCTGCCTTTTTTGATGAGTAGTAATTAACCAAAGCAATTAGGAGGATCAGTCATGGAGATGCAGATGTTTCATTTGAGGAGCGGAGCTTTTTTAATGCTGTCTCGGTTATAGATATTCGGTGTATTTTAATGCCTTATGATCTAAATCAGGGAGCAGGAAGCTGTTACACTAAACTCATATGCAGTATTTTCCTCTGGGAAAGAGTGACTTTTCGAATCCACACTCTGCTAGAGGCTGATTTAGTTCATTGATTCACAACACAGTGAGTAATGCTGACGGCTGAGTCTCTAGATGAGAGTGGAAAACTGTTTTTAGAACCATGAATTACTGCTGATTTCACATTTGGTGCACGATGCAAATTCATCCTGAATTATTTTCTGAGTGTGATGATCCTGCTCCAAAGCAGATATGCAGCAGTATAGCGTGAGCAGCTGTCACACGAGCACGGTCAACAAATCAAGCTCTGCTGCTTTCGGTTGTGCCACTGCAAACCAAAAGCAACCTTGCTGAATTCAGCAGAAATGCTCACAATATGTCAGTGGGATTGGCCCTGATCTTGTCTTAATTAGATAAAAATGAACAGAAGTACAAGACAGGAGGAGGATATTTTGGCAAGTGATACTGTTTGCATTAAAAGTGCAGACTGACAGCTGACGTTGTACAGGCTTAGGTTTTTTTATCATTTGGTGCAGACCACCTCAGTATATTTTGAACATGTGCTTCAATGCAAAAATAGCAATTGGAATGCATTGGTGGAGATACAGATCTGAGGAATACCAGCTCTTACACTGCTTTTGATTAATTATTTAGCTCTGCTAATTTAGGTCAACTCTTTCAAGCTTATGCACTCCTGATCATTGCAGTCATACATTATTTCACTATAAGGACTTCAGTATATTCCTTTAAAAGCATGAATATACAAGCAAGTTCCAATGCACATGCAAACTCACACTTCATATAAACACATGAACCTATTTAACAGGGAGAATTGCCTTACAGCAGCGAGGGTGTGTAAGAAATATTACGTTCATTCTTACCGTATGTTTGGCTTTGACCACGATAATCTGCTGTCTGTTATCAAAGAAATGTGCCCAAAAGTTCACTTCCATAGATGCATTTTTGCACAGCAGGTGTGTGGAACCCTAACTGTGATCAGCACTGCAGGGTGGCCCAAATTATTCTTCCTCCACTTCCTTAGAAGTACTAATGGGAAGGTTTTCAGCAGTGATGATCCTAATGCAGGAACTTGTGTTTTGTAACATGGAGTTTAAACTCAACCCAAGTTTTACCCCTCATTCCTGCCACTGCTTACTGAAATGTCACCTTCTGTCTCCTGAGTTCCATTCAAATACATGTAAAACCAGGCCATGTGCAAGGAGACCTCTTGCAATGTTCCCCCATGCCTCCTGTTCCCACAGCATTGTCTTTTCTGAGTAATTTCTGGACACTTTCCAGATGACTTTGGGCCACCCTGTGTTCCTTAGATCGCTGACCTCTGCCAACTTCTACTGCATAGACTCAAGTAGATCTGGTTTTATTTTTCTCACCTGTCTTTTTCAAATCCAAATGCTGCAGATTATTTTCCCCAGTACTAAAAATGTTATGCCTATTTCACCCTTCTTTGCATTTCTGGCTGCACAGAACTGCTCATGCACAGGAGAGAAGAGTCTGGCCTAGGGCAAACATAATCGTTCTAATGTTCATTTCCTTAAGGTTACTTAAAAATCACGTACTGCCCAAAATTTCCATATAATGATCTCTACCCTTGACTTCAAAGTCCATAATGAAAAGCTTCACACAACTAAAATTAAATGCAGTATAAAGCTTTGCAACTTATAAACCATCCTGGAGTGCCCCAAGCTTGACCTGACCTGACTGAAACATTTGTTCAGGAGAGTTCTTTCTTCTGCTGTGTTGCCTTACCGGGATTTGCTTCCTGATAAAAACATCCTCTGAAAGAAAGAGGGAACTGCCAAGGGTCATTTAACATCCCACAGGAGACAAAACCAGGTGAAGTGTGGACTACACAGGTCATTTCATGGGTTTATCGTCTACAACAACAATTCTGCTACAATATAGCTGTTCTGTAATGCACACCAAGTCCTCGTGAGAAAAAGAACAGCACCAAGGATTTCTGCAGCTTGTTTCTGGGTGATAAATTTCTGCCTATCACAGTTTCTCAGAAACTGTCTGAGTTTTGGGAAAGGAAGATCTAAAGTGATTAAGGCTGAAGACAAGTTCACTGGGATTTTTAAGGAAATGAGAAACAAGATTGCTTGTTACAGCAAAAGCTATTTGAGTTAAAGAGAACTATTTCCTGTGTATGCAAAATTATGTCTTAAGAGGTAGAACTTCAGCCCCTGAGGATGAGAATATCTAGAATCCAATGAGATCTGAAATCATATATATTTGTAGATATATATGGGCATGTCTGTATATGTTCAATTCTATTTGTCTTCATAAAAGGCTCAGAGGATAGTAATTTTTGCAAAAGAGGACAAAAATGCTTAATTCTAGATTT